ACATGACTGCTTGTTGCTGGTTTTAAACTCAGAAAGTGATGTGTTTCAAAAATTTCAAAATGAAAGGTACACTTAATAGAACAACTATGATATCAACTCAGATGAGTAAATACGGTAATAATAAAATGTAAAATAAACAGTAATAATTTCCAATAATATAGCAAAAAGAAATATTCGATCCCGGACGAGCCCCCAATTTCTGTTACGAGCCAGGCGTAACGAGAAAGAAAAGCCAGCAACAAACTTGTAACAATAACAAATTTATTACAGAAAAATTATTAAAGAAAAATTAAAGAACAATTAATGTTTACAAATACCTGAAGTCCAAATAAAAATGTAAAATTAAAATGTCTTATCTGATCCTGGAATGATCCTTTTTGAATAGCACAGTTAAATCCAAGTTAAATCCAAGAACACTTTAGAATAAATTCCCACAATAAAATCCACAAGAATAATTTATTTTAAAATCCAAGCTCCAATAATTCACTTTATATCCAAGTTGAATAATACTCCAAATATATTGATTTCTTAAAAGGTAACTGATGACTTAATAGATCACTGATGACTTAAAAGGTAAAGGTAATGAAAAATGTCAATCTATATATATTAACTAAGAAGTTTCTAGAAAAGTCTTCCATTTACTACAGTAATCATAATCTAGCAACTTCACCAATAAAGATCATTCCAGAAGTTTCTATCTAAATATAATGCATGAGTTTTCTACAATAGTTAAGAACCTTCTAGTACATACATGTAGTTTATGTTCTAAAAATAGAACAATGATAATATTGGAAAAACCAACTGGTCAGATACAAACTATATACATGTAATATGTTGCATACATAACAAACCTAAGTCTCATTAATATCATCATAATCAATGGCATTACAATAGTACGCATCTGCTTTTCAAAGACAGCATACATTTCTTATAACATGACCTTTATCACTACAATAAAAATAATAACATGATGTCTATCATCATTATCAGCAGCATCATCATCATCACCATCATCATCATCATCATTGACTACATTGCAATCATCATCATCCTAATTATAGAAATAATAATCACCATCATCATCCTCATTTACAACATTTCTGTCAATATCATTACCATTATCATCATCATCATAATCATACTCATTATCATAATAATAACAATCTTCAGGTTGAGAAAACTTCGATCATTAATACAGATCGAATGTTGAGCTGAGTGTCGATTGTCTAGCTTGACATGAGAAATTTTCGAATGTCTAGCTGATTGCTAATTGTCTAGCTCCACATTCAATTTAAGAATACTTTAATTATAATTACAGATCGCAAGTTGAGTTGACTGTCGATTGTCTAGCTTGACATAAGGAAATTTTCGAATGTCTAGCTTATTGATGATTGTCTACCTCAACATTAAATTTAAGAAAACTTCAATCTACATCAAAGATCGAATGTTGAGCTGTGTGTCGATTTTCTAGTTCGACATAAGAAATTTTTGAATGTCTATCTATTTGTTGATTGTCTAGCTCAACATTCACTTAAAGAACAATTTAATCATTATTATAGATCGAATGTGGAGCTGAATGTCTATTGTCTAGCTTGACATCAGCAATTTTTAATTCTAAGCTGATTGTTGATTGTCTAGCTCAACATTTAATTCGAGAATTATTATTACAGATCGAATGTGGAGCTGAATATAAATTGTCTAGCTCGACATAAGAAATTTCTGATTGTCTAGCTCAGATAGATAGATAAATAGATTTATCTCGGCATAAGAAGCTCAACATTTAGAAAACTTTGACCATTATTTTAGATCGAATGTTGAGCTCAATGTCGATTGTCTAGCTCGACATTAGAAATTTTTGAATGTCTATCTTATTCTTGACTGTTTAGCTCAACATTCACTTTGAGAAAAACTTTGATCATTATTAATCGAATGTTTAGCTGAATGTTCATTGTCTAGGTCATAAGAAATTTTTGAATTTCTAGGTAATTGTTGATTGTCTAGGTCAACATTCATTTTAAGAAAACTTCGAAATTTATATAAATTAAAAGTTGAGCTGAATGCCGATTGTCTATCCCGACATAAGAAATTTTTGTATGTCTATCTGATTGTTAATTGTCTAGCTCAACATTTACTTAGAAAAACTTTGATCATTAATATAGATCGAATGTTGAGCTGAATGTAAATTGTCTAGCTCGCCATCAGAAATTTTCCAACGTCTAGCTGATTGTTGATTGTCTAGCTCAACATTCACTTTTAGAATACTTTGATTATAATTATCATAGATCAAATATTGAGCTGAATGTTGATTGTCTAGCTAGACATTGAATGTCGATTGTTGATTGTCATGTTATTTCACATTTCCCCTCCGTTGTTTTATCTCGGAAAATTCTTCTCCCTTGAAATTGACAGAGCGAATGTTTATTTCACAAACGACAATTTCCGCACTCACAGACACATAAAAACACATATGATGAGAGAGTATCTCTCGATGTTTTTAAAAAAAATGACATAAATATTGATAGATAATCAACGATATCTATATTTTTCTATAAAAACTGCGGTACATGGACGTGATATCAAAATAACTAATGTTAAGTTTTTTGTTGTTGTTTTTTTTTTAATCAATCCATGAATGACAGAATTATTGACACGTCAATCAATGTACTTTGACAAAATCAAGGACTATGGACGTACAAGTATGGTCTTTACCCTTGAGCTACCGAGCTAGCTGGAAAGATAACATACAAGAAAAATAATTTAAAGATCTTGGCGGGATTCGAAACATGAATGGCTTCAAGACAACGACCTTAACAATTCGATTCGGGCGATTGAACGCTTATTTTTCATATTTTCCAAGAGCTGTATATCGTTGCATACTCGACGCTCTATAAAAAAGAAAACAACAGCAAAACATAAACCAATGTGTCTTTACTCTTGCGAGCTTCCAGCCGCTATATTATTGCTCGGGTGGATAAGTGTCAACTCATTCCCCTTTAGACGGTTTTTATTCACTATGTATTTCTTGAGATATATGTTCTTTGGAGCATTTCCTTGCCTTATGCCATTGGCCGTTGGGAAGTTTGGAAGATATGACTATCAGTATGGATTAAGTCCCTTTAACAAATTGAAAATAGGAGTTCACTGAAAATTACATAACAATTAGATCATAAGCTTTTGCAGTAAATCCTCCAGTAAAGCCTCAAGATCTTGAAAACGATGAATAGAAATTTTATCGAGGTTTAATTAAGATTCTTACTGCTTACTTTAATCATTTTGAGACAACACTGAATTATCTCTCTTCAATTTACTGTTTTTTTTTTCTTTATACCAACACAGATAATGTGTACTGTATTTATTGCATAAACTCAGTGGTATTTCATATATTCATCATATCTTTAGTTGTTTTTTTTTTGATAATCCTATTCGTATTGTGTCTTAATGTCTTCTTAAAAATCATTATGTCAATTGACTGTTCCTATACATACATTATTTACTACAAAAAGTTTTAATATTACCCCACCCACTACGTTAATCAATGCATTGTTAAAGGTCGTGCTCATTATCCAGCTTGTTATACTGATTTTATGGAAATCCTACCTACAGATGTACTCTATGAGATTTTGCACATAGTTACGGAAAAACTCATAAATTTTCTTCACGCTTAAAATTTTCGTAGAACGAACAATTCTTAATTGAAAAAAAATAAAGTGTATAAATAATTATTAGTATTTTTTTGTGATTCACGTTTAAGTCATTTGACATAACTCTTTACATAAACAGTGAAATCTTGCAAATAAAAAGTGCTAGTTTAAATTAAGACATTTAGTCTAACTTATCTTAATAATATACTCTTCAACATTTTCTGCAAAGTGCTTTAAAAGCCATAATTGACAGACATTTTTGAGCGGATACGAATATATATGTACTTTTATGAAAAGGTCATTTTTTATGCACTTTTGACATACAAGCGTGGAGTTTGGGCTATGGACCAAAATTATGTGTGCGATACACGTTCATTGTGGTCAACAGAGTTATATTTTGCTATTAAGAATATATCCAGTGCTACAAAAAATCAAATGTCAACTGTACACAATAAAACTAAAATTATATTATGACTTTCAACTTACAAGTTTGACCTTGACACTTAATAAGAGACATTAATCCTGCACGTGGCCCTTTGAGATAAGAAATCCCGAACATGTTGACCGGACACTTAAACTGATGTTAAATGGTGACATCGACCCCAAGATATTGCGTACGATACAGCATCTTTATGTGCTACGAATTTATTCAAACCTATTTTGAAATTCCTCCATATGGCAAAATTAATGACTGGACAAAATTAACGAACTGGTGATCGACAGTTTTGCATTACCTGTGGTCATAGACTTTTAATAAACTGGAAACTTTGGCGCTTTCTCTACAATAGTTGTTCGTCTGTCTACAAAAATATTTAAGGACACGTAAACATAACTATAAGCTTCCACAAGAGTTTTCGCCAGTCATGTAATAATAAATCTAAATATAAGTACGTTCATTAATTTATATGTCTGTTTATTTTATGAAAATGCAAAAGAAAGAATATATTATAATTTAGAGGTATAAAATGCTAATGTCATTTTTATATGATGTTTTTTATTATTGTTAATGTATAATATGGAGAAAGAAGAAATCATCTCATGACTGCAGCTTTTTTACAAATGCAGGTTATTTTCTTTAATTATTATTTAAAATATCATTAAATGAGGGCGAAATATAATAGGTTCAAAATCAACAATAATAATAGGAATGAAAGGTTTATTTTATCCATGATAAAGAAATGTCAAAGATAATCTACAATTTGCATTTCAATATAAACTTTATTTCTAATACTTGTTTATCCGGCACTTCTGATTAGAAATTGCTACAAGTATTTCCGTTTATTGTGAGTTGTTCCTAACACTGCAAATGATAATAATTACCATTTTTTATATTTGTAATATGTAAATTATTTTTTATTTCAGGAAAAAAACTACTGAAATGAATAACGACATACGTGGTTGGTAACATTATTTCTTTTTCTTTATTTTCTTTTCTTTTATTTCCTCTTATACATGTAGATCTATGGTTGATTTTATCGTACCTTTACTTAATCAAAAAGTTGTTCCCAAATGTATAACAAACAAAAGGCGAAAATATCTTGTTACATGATCAGAAAAAAAGAAAATCTAATACCATCGTATATACATATTTTTAGCTTGACATTTTCGAAGAAAAACAAGATCTTTTCCTCCGGTATATTGTCGTTGCTGTTATCGATGCCATTGCCATCCGAAAACTATAACGTTGGCCTTGTGTTTTTTTTTCTCAATGGATTACCTTCATATTCGGACACAACAACCCATTGGGCAAGACTCTTAAGGTGGCCATACTGAACTTTACCTTTTTCATACATGTACTTTGGAATAGACCTTCAAGTAGATTAAATTGATAACGATCTCATTCATCAATGGCCTTAACTAAAAACTCAAATTATTGCATATTGCTTGACTCTAGCTGTAATTGGCTTTTATATTGTTATTTATTAATGGACTCTCTTTTTTACTTGAGCAAACTTCTTCAAGGACAGTGTAAAACGCAATTTGATCTTGACTCATAGATGACCTTAACTTGAAGAACAATTAATGTAATTTCACATGGTTTAATTTATTTTTTATTTTTCGTTATTTTTGCTCTTCTTCGCTTAAACGTTTTAGTTTTGTGATTAATAAATTGATTTTCTTCATACTGCGGCAAAACAATACATGGGACAATACATTAAGAATGTCATTGAACTTAGTTTGAGCTTGACATTAAAGGTGAAATATCTATGTTATTTATTTATTTTATGAATACGCTAGCAACACTCATTTCAAACTTGACTTGTTTAATAATTCAAATATGGCCTTCTCCTATATGTAGACTTTCAAATATTGAACTTAGCTTAGATTTTGATAACTTTGTCTTTTATTTACATATTTAATGAATACTTTGACCAAATGAAACCCTTATGACAAAACCAGTTTGTTTGATCATTCAAATTTTTCATTGACTTAACTTTGACCTTGACTGTCTTGTCATGTTCTTTTTTTAAATTGTCATGCATTTGTTATTTACTTACATATTTGATTCATACTTATTAAACAAAGTAACACAAATGGAAAACCAAAAGGAAATATTCCGATATGACCTTTAACTTTAATTGACCTCGAGCATCATGTTCAAATATTGACATATTTGCTTAAATCGTCATAAATGGGCAACTCATTAACAAATTTGATATATTCTTGAACAAAAGAATACATATGACAAAACCGACATGTTTGATAATTCTGATATGAAAAGACCTTAAATTCACTTTAACCGTCAAAGTCAAATATTGAATTTTGCTTAAATTGCCACTTCTTTGTTAATTGTTTACATATTTAATTAATACTTAAAGAAAAGGAAATATCAGACAAAACCGATATGCTGTATAAGTTTTAGTATGACATTGACCTTTTCGTGACCTTTTCATCAAGGTCAAATTATTGATATTTGCTATAATTGTCATAACTGGTATTTTTACTGATAGATTTGAGTCAATCTTGGACAAAGGAACACATTATGATAAAACTGATTATTTCAGATGTGACCTTGTTATTTTAATGACCTTGTCTAACTAGGTCAAATATGTGCATTTCGATTATATTTTGTTCAAGAAAATTATATTTTCTAGATTCATTTTTTACTCCAAAACACTTCCTGTGATATGTTTGACTTAAGAAGTGAGTTATAGTCGAGCGAGATCCAATATTGGCGGCTTTTGTTACCTTGTGTAATAAATTTTATTGAATATATGTTTTCAATATTCCCAGTTAATTGAAAGTTATTGCACATGCAACTTTGTACTGATTCTCCTTATATCTGCTTGGTACTGAGCAGTCATTTCCGTGTTTTGAGCTCATTTGACCACATATTCTGTCCGGCGTCCGTCGTCGTGCGTCGTTCGTCGTCAACATTTTGGTTGTTAACACGCTAGCAGTCACAGTTTTGATTGGATCATAATCAAACTTTGTCAGAATGATTGTTTCAGTGATTTACAGACAAGGTCGCAGGAGCTAAAGATAGAAAAATATTGTTAACACTAGAGTGACTGCAGTTTTAACCCAAATATCCTAGAAAGTAATGAGGAAGTTTATCTTAATAATTTCTAGGTTAATTTTGAATATGGGTCATCTACGTCAAAAACAAGGTCACAGTAGCTATAAAAAGACTAATCTTGTTAACACTCTAGTGGCTGCAGTTTTAATTGAATATTTTTGAAATTGGCTAGGAAAGTTGTTTTGATGATTTCGAGATCAACTTTGAATATGGATTATGTCGGGTCAAAAACTAGGTCACAGGAGTTAAACATAGAAAATTCTTATTAACACTCTAATGGCTGCAGTTTTGATCCAACTGTTCTGGAAATTGGTCAGGTAGCTTGTTTTGGTGATGTTTAGGTCAAATTTGAATATGGGTAATCTCTGGTCAAAAACTAGGTCATAATTAAAAATATTGTTAACACTAGTGGCTGCAGTTTTGAACCAAATATCCTGGAAATTCATGAGGAAGGTTGTTTTGATGATTTCTAGGGTATCTGATATGGTTTCTCTCCGGTCAAAAACTGGGTCACAGGAGCTATAAATAGAAAAATCTTGTTAACACTCTCGTGGCTGAACTTTTGATTCAAATATTTTAGAATTTTTTTTTGATAACTTCTAGGTCATGTTCGAATACGGGTTGTCTCGGGTCAAAAACTAGGTCACAGGAGCTAAAAATAGAAAAGTCTTGTTAACACACTTGTGGCTGAAGTTTTGATTCAAATATCATGAAAGAAGATCAGGAAGGTTGTTTTGATGATTTCTAGGTCAAGTTTGAATATGGGTCATCTCTGATTTAAAATTATGTCACAAGAGCTTAAATAGAACCTCTTGTAAGTACATTAATTTAATGGCTGCAGATTTGATCCAAATATTTTGGAAATTGGTCAGGAAGGTTTTTTTGATGATTTCTAGGTCTAGTTCGATTATTGGTTCTCTCGGGTCAAAGCTAGGTTACAGGAGCTAAAAATAGAAAACCCTTGTTAATACTCTAGTGGCTGCAGTTTTGATCCAAATATCCTTGAAATTGATTAGGAAGGTTGTTTGGATAATGTCTAGGTCAAGTTCGAATATGGGTGATCTCGGGTTAAAAAACTAGCTCACAGAAGTTAAAAATAGAAAAATCTTGTTAACGCTCTAGTTGCAATAGTTTTGATCCAATTATCCTGGAAATTGATCAGGTAGATTGTTTTGATGATTGCTAGTTTAAATTAGAATATGGATAATCTCTGGTCAAAATCTAGATCACAGGAGCTTTAAATAGAAAAGAAATATTTTTAACACTTATATTGTGTTAAATAAATCTACACCAACTGGATGACTGTTGATTCCGGTGTAGCGTTAGATTCATCAGACCCGTGAAAATGTAAGATCTTTCAAATCTCACGGGAGGCCTGAGACACCTTAGACCATTTAAGTTAAAAAGATTTCCTGTTTCACATAAATACTGTAAATATTTCCTTGCATCGATACAGTAATGGTTAAACCTTAGGTGTATGTTTATATAACAAGTAAAGAATTACATTAAATTATCTATTAGCTTACGGGATAGCTTCAAGAGTAATTCAAATTTCCTGGCGAGGTTCAAACGCACTCAGTTTAGTTCAGGTGATTTAAAGTAAGCTGCTTTAAACTTTTATAATGCCAAATAATAAAACTTAAACAAACATGTTTCACTAAAAACATATTGAAAAAATAATCAAATTATCACTTGTGAACTCATTACAGTAAGGGAAAATACATAAATTTATCATAAATGTCTGATTTTAAACAGTCAAGTCATCGAAACATTTGAACAATAATTAATTTTGTAATTTTTAAAATATTTTACTATTTCTTACCGTAATGAAATTTACCAATCAAATATTTTTAAAAATACATCTAAGTAAACCAGTCAATTTCTAAAAATATAAGTACCCATGACTTACACATTTTAAATACTTTATAGCAGAATATTTAACCAGCACTAATAATATTCAAGTATTTTTCCTATGTGTTAACGTCTTTCTAGATAGTCTCATATAGGATTTATTCTTCTGTTCAATTCTAAAATATCCATGCTAAAGGTACTGGTAAATATGTGACAACAACAATTTCTTGCATTTAAGACAAAAAAATGTATTTTTCATAATGGTGCTAAAAGCCCTATCTTACACCCCTGGCTATATTTATCGGTAAATCGACAGAGTCTGATTACCACCGGAAAACATTACCCTTGCGCTAAATGTTCAGATCCGTACCAATAGATGTAAGATTTTTAGGTTATAACCCGATACACGGGTGTGAAGAATACATTCAGTGGTTTGTAGCAACCAAAGTTTTCAAATAGAAGTTCGCAGGTTTCGACCTAGATGTCGTTTAGCTATCAAGCACTTTGAAACTTTTATATTAGATTTATAGTTGAGTGAATTGAAATATTCAGAATTTCAAATTCTAACGTAGAATTAATAATTATTCTAACATAGAATAAATGCCCATGAAATCATTAAATTTTGATATATTTGTTGAAAAGTGGAATTATTGTTTTCACAAAACTTCATCAGTAACATGGATAGACAAAAAACTTATGTTTTCCTCTGATAGTTGGGAACGATGTTGCGGTATACAAGTTTTTCAGTGGAAAGTATTGCATACCAAAACTATACTAAATAAAAGTGAACATCAGCACAGAAATATAATAATACTTTTATCAGTTTGAACTCAGACAATATTTCTATGTAAAGTTAGAACTCAATCAATAGTTCTATGTAAAGTTAGGACTCTATCAATTTTTCTATATAAAGTCAGGACTCAATCAATATGTTCATTTAAATTGTACAGATCAAATAATTGATATTGTTGAGTATTTTTACCTAGTGTAAGTGGCGTTCAAAATTTATCATAGAGGACATTATTAAACATCGTGCTTTCTGAAACCTTAAAACATAGAGGATTTCATTCAACTGTGCCACAGTCTGCATTCTAGAATTATTAATGTTAATGAAATTGAATAGAAATGACAGTTTTAATCAAAGGTTGCGTGAAATTGCAAGGATATAATTCTCATGTTACATTTTGCAAAGTGTGTTCTACGAAACTCTTATTGTGTCAAATAAAATAAAATTTGAAAACATAAAGGCGTAGTAGCGCGAATAAAGGCGTGAAACGCGATTTAAGGCATAGTAACGCGAAACGAATGGCGTAATATGTTGTTTTTGTTTGTTTCCTCATTTTCGTTTTCTCTTTCATTGGTTATCAAAACTTAATCTATATATTGTACTATTCTCAAACAAAAGTAAATCTTATTAATAAATTGTGTTGATATATAAGGCTAGTTTAACAATATTAAACTTAAAGCTTGTAGTTCTTCATAACATTGTAATTGTACGCCTTATATACTTTCTGTAAGCTTCAGCTTTATCTTTTAATTTGTTTCTGTTTCTATTGTTATGTTATATGAAACAGTTCAATCCTCAACAATATTATATTCATTTTTATATATTTTATAGCTAGATAAAATCTTTTATGTCATTGTGGCTAATTGCCCATTTTCAACTTCATATACTGAAGTTTTTTTTTGTCTCCCCATACTAGTACACAGTTTTTCTGCTTATCGGCCAACAGATGCACATTAAAGTAGATAAATAAATTTTGAACAATGAATTTTAAGAAACATCATAATAAACATTTTTATATTATTCTAGATATAAAACAAAGATTACAGAAAGGTAAGTTAAGACTTTGTATAACCAATTGAAATTTACATTGTTTGCATTATCGCCTTAACAAATGTACCCAAACTTCCTGGTAATTGTGTCCATCAGCAAATACGTATTAGGAATAGCCAACGTTTTAGTATAATCATGTTTTCGACACATTGTAAAACTTATATATAATGCAGTTTACGAATTAAATGCAGAAGAAAACATTTTTCTGTTTGCCTAATTGCCCATTCAAAGGTCAATCTAATAGTGTCAACCAGCATGTAATTGTCTGTCTTTTTAAGAAGGGAAATATGCATTTATGCATATATTTTTGTAAAAAAATAATTGCTATTTTTTGAAATAAGTCGATTTTTTTTACAAATCTGTCAAAAATATTAAGGATATTAACAACGCCTTCCTTATCAGGACATTGGTTGTTATAGCATAAGTGTATGACATTGGAAATTACTAAAGCCAGATGTAGTGCTAATATTTACATTATCTCTCATGAACAAAATCAGTAGAACTGCTGAATTGTCAAGTTAGAATTGATGTTTCCATTGCTCTCGGGATATCTCCTCTAATCAAGATTATTTTACTACTTATCACATTCCTCGATTGTATTGTCATTCGATAAGTTACAAGTTTCATATGTTGTATAATTATACAAGATAGAACTTCTTGATGGTTCCTAAAAGCTCTTTCAAGGGTGAACTCGTATCCTTATGATACCCATCAGCATTATCTTGATATATACGACGTTTAAGTAATTTGCGTGTCTATTGCTTTGCTTGTAACATAATTTAAAGCGGACTATATATTATTTAGATAGGTAGAACGAAGATATTAGAGGTTATTGAACTGTCCAGTATTGCAAGCATCCAGGCGTCCTTTTTTAAAGTAAATCACTGATAAAACCAACGTTAACGCAAATGTTAAGCTTGAAATACTAACAGTACCGTGTTAAAAAGAAGCATTTACATTTAACAAGAGAAACGAAATAGGGGGAAATTGAGGGTTTCTAGACATGTTTTTAATGGTCTGTATTTACTGATAAGTACAACGTTAACTGAACTGCACATCATAACTATGTCATCACTACCGTTCCAGTAACTACAATACAAGACGGCTATGTTTGTATACACTAAAAATTACATAGTGCATGAAGACAGATACCAAAATTTCCATTCAATGGTATTAAGAAATCATTAAAATGCTATCTGAAAAATATAGAGTCATACAACTTGTTAGTAACCGCTAAAAGAGCTGTGTGACTGTTATTTTACCTGCCACACAGTAAGAGTTTAAAGGTCTAGAATTGTCTATATAAATATATAGTCCTCTCAAAGGTGTTAAAACTGCCATTTATGTGTGTCAATTAGCTATTATTGAATTAGTCCTCTCAGCAAAATTATTTGTGTTTCTTTAATGCAAATTTAACATATCTTCATAAACTTTTGTGGTTTACCAAATCTTTCCTTGACTGTCCCATCTCTAGTTATGAGATTGCAACATAGTTTTCAGTAGCATAAAAGTACAAACACTACTTTTAGCTGTCAAAATGCATTTCCGCAGATATCCTTCTTATGGTGTTCATCACCATAATACTTAAAATGGATAAATCCGTATGTTCACCATCCGTTCATCTTGTGTGATTGTGTGAAAATTTGAAATTTCTTTAAAAATAAACAACATTTAATTGCAAAGCAATACAGATATGATATTCAGCATGTCCTTTAATAAAATTTATTGCATATTTTTTTTAATTTCAGACGACAAGCAAGAACTGTTAAAGCAAATAGAAAACAAAGGTTTGTTAAATTTTGAACTTAATGTACTCCCTTTTGACAATACAATACTGCTTTGCAAATGAGTTAGATTTTGTAAAATATGTTTTAAAATACATAACTTACTGCGTTATCGTATATCGAAATCAAATTGTCACTTTGACATCACATAACTTTTATAATTGTTTATGCCCAATCTTGTCTTTAATAAAACCGTATTATCAAAACCTATAGGGTCCAATTCCTATCAACCATATTAACTTTGTTAAAAGTATATCAGGATCTACGTATTATGGTACAATTTGTACTTTGGTATGTAACCGTAGCGACTAAGTGGTAGCATTCCTGATTCATTATATAAATATCTTAAAAGTGCTTCCTTTTTATCTAAACATTGTAGACATGAAGCAACCTTAAATATGTTGGTGAATTAAATAGCATGTTCTATACATTGCGTGAGTAAAATAAAAAAAGGAAACATAATCATATTATTGGACTTGCAATAAGTAATACATTATAGTGCTTATTTGAATTTTTGATCCAACTATGGTTTCCCGTGTGTTTAACGACATTTAATATTGAGTCCACAAGCTTTATGTAATAATCTTCGATAAAAAATGTTTAAAAATATCTCGAGAACTTTAAAGCAAATAATCTCACTTTTAGCTACACTTTAAAACTCGCACGATGAAAAGAAATTTCATCGAACATAATAACAAACAAATATCCTCTATGTATTATACAAAATATGACAATCAATTTAGTACAATAGCAAACAAATAATTTGGCTGAGCCAAAGACGAAAAATTTAAGGGCCTCGCCGTTTTTCTGAACAAATTTCTCTTTCAACTTATTAACAAATCAATAATTGTTCACACACTCAAACACTCCAAATTTGGCTATTTTTTACACCAAAATATTACTTTTTTGTGCGTTTATCAAATGTAATATCAACATAACAACGCAAAGCTTTTTTTAAAAATGGCAATTACAGAGAAAAGAGAAAAAAAATCCGTGGTTCTTAGAGATCCGTGGTTCGAGTCCCGGCTCCGGAGTGCCGCTTTTTCGTTTGATTTTGTAATATATAGCTTCCCGCTCATGACTTTCTTTCTATTGGTTCATAGAGAATTTCAAGCTATCTTTGAACTTCAAATCGACGAACAAAATTCAAACTAAACCGAATTAGCACTTGACAGTACCGTCCATGAACAGGCTCAATTACACCGAGCCTGCAACATTTTCAATTTTGCAGTGTTGGGCTTTCTTTAGGGATTCTTATTTTCTCTTTTTTAGAGCTGGAGTTGAATAGCTTGAAAGTCGAAATAAGAAGTGAACGAAAGCCGAATTTCAAGCTTGAGTTGAATTTTCAAGCCGTTCAAAGTGCGAAATTTTAATTTCTTAAAGCTGGAAATCGACCTGGAGTTGATTTTCGCGCCAGCTCGAAAGTCGAAATTCAAAGTTAGCTTATAAATAAGCTGATTTTTGTACTGTATTTCAATTTCTAATTAGCTCGAAGTTCGAAACTGAAAATAAGCAAATACCGAATTTCCAGCAGATTCAACAAAAGATCAAGATCCTGCTTAATGTAACTGTGAATTACGATATCGAGCTAGCAGCTTGAAATTTAGCTTCATTTACTTTAAATTGAGATCTTTTAGCTGACTCGAAGTTCAAAGTTAGCGGAAGATAGGCTATAAACTGAATTTCAATTTACAATACCAGTGCTAACTTTCCGATACTCATAAGACAAAAAGAACTATAATTTATTAATGTCGGATGAATACATTATTTCTGTAAAAGAGACAACGCCCGTATTAGTTTCGGTTCCAGTTCCCAAACGCACGCAATGGACACCTTTCATATATTGTACTGTATGTCATTTAAATTATACGGGTTGGTCTGTCCGTATTTATCCTTTGTGATTTATTTGTATCTTACGTAAATAAATATGTAAACGTAGTTAGAAGTATTAAATCATATTTTAGAAATAGGGCTATTCATGAGAATATTCTGCACGTTGACCTGAACTAGCATTTTCTTGGAAGAGTTCTGTAACTTATTTACATATGAGGTCTCGTCGAGTTGTTACATGATCCAAAGATATGTTATTTTAAGACTAAATTATTGTTTCTTTTATTATTATAAGCATATTTTGATAAGAGAATAGAAAAGCAGTTCATATTTTTGATTAATGATCTATTTATATTTAAAGATAAATCTCTCGTTCTTGATATCACAGGAAAAACGCAACAGTATCTTTCATTTGAAAATCAATTAAAATTCATAAGATATGGTACTATACATGCTAGTATGAACAAATCTGTGGATGTTTTAAACTTCAAACTTTCACCATCTTCATATTTAAATGTTCAATACTTCTTGAGTTGGTGCTATGAGTTTTGACAGTAACTTACACTTTCCAGTACCGTGCACGAACAGGCTCAATCAAATCGAGCCTGCAACATTTATTTATTAATATTTTTTGCGACGGACGCGCCCTCAGGCACGTTCAGAGCTAAGTCATCTACACATGGGATTTCGTTGGCTACACTCGCGCAATGTGTCCTAAACCGATTAACAGCCCAAGAAATAGTACATGAATTTGATCCTTCAAAACTCCCATACTTTGTCTGGATATCTTAATGTCTTCCATATTTAGCCTTTTCAATTTCAAATTAAGTTATCCAATTTAAAATATGAACGTATATTATTGATAAAAACGTTGTAGTCCCGTAGTATTATTGCGCAATATGCAAATTACTGCTGAAACGATTTACCGCTGTCGAAAAAGTAGGACAGCAAATTATACTACAATAAAGGTGTAACCTCTGAGTTCCAAGACATTATTAGTAGGAAATAAATATTTCTACATTATACAAAACATTATTATTAACAAATCAAAAGTTTTTTGTGACTCTAGGATAACTCGCGCATTAATAAAAGAAGAACTATTTTCGTGACTCATACCGCGGGTTTAGCTGAATATTCAGCAGTTATTAATATATTAGATTCAGTACAATAGTAAGTATAAATATCTATTTTTGAAAATGCATGTAAAAAAAGAGTTTTTCAACACTTTACCGCCATGTAGTCTTTCATGGTAAGGAAGTTATGATATCAGTTCTACTTCCGATTCTTGTGGTTTGTTTACATATTTTTCTAGGTCATGATATGAATTAACCTTCGCTATTCTAAAAATAGATTCTGCTTCACCTGTTCTGATTTTTGGACATGCGATTAGGGAGTACACATTATAAACCAGCGGATTACATGCAATACTTTTAGAAATTCTATACAATTGTAAGAAGCAAACAAGTTGAAAATGGAATTTAGTGTGAAATTGAAAAGGACAACTAAACACTGTAGTGCTTAAGTGACATTTAAATTAAAATAAAAACGATGTGCTCTGGCCTCTACATCTTTACCTTGTAAATAAAAAAATCTAAAAAATACATTATTAATTGCTGATGATTTTAACCAAATTTTTTTTTAATGAGACATTATCCAAGAGAAATAAAAATACAAATGACTTATATTTTATTGTCTATATGCCCACTATGATATAACACGAAGCAATTCTAAATATCATTCTCAAATGTATAATGTATTATGTTTGAAGTTTTTTTGCCTGGATTTATTTTAGAAATATTTCGTTGACAGTTTTTTTTCTATTTACATATCATTTCTTAGAATAAATCGATAAGGACACTGATTTACAAGTTTGACCAGAGTTTTAAGGCATGAATTTCATTCTGTATTTAAGTGCTTGAAAGTAGAAAATCTGAATTATATCAGTTTGGGACACAAAATATATTGCTCTACAAATCTCGAACTTGTATGGAACAAATTTTCTCTGTTATATATTTTGTGTTTTGTTTTTGTTTAAAAGAAGCCTTTATGTCTCTCCGGTTGCATGTCCGTCGCATTCAGTGCTGCAGCACTTTGATTTTGTTTTGGAGTTCTTTAGAGGTTCCATTTTTCTCTATTCTATAAACATATATTTTGTGATTTATTAACATATTTGTGACAAGTTTTTGTAAACCTTTTCCCCTAATTATAAGACATGATATGCAAACGTTAGTTAGTGAGAAATAAAAGAAACTAAATAAAGTACAAGGTTCGTACCATCGATATCACATTAATTTTACATAACATATATTTCTTTTTTAAGATCATTGACAAGTAACTGATAATACACATAGTACAAAAAATGCTTTTTCGGTGGCCCTTGACATTTTTAGATGAGTCTATATACATTTAAGCTCAAACGTAATGTTACAAATAGTATGAGTACATCATGGTGATACTTTCATAAGTAAAATGTTGAGTAACATTTACAAAAGGTTTAAAACATCTTAAGTTGTCAAACTATCAAATAACAACTTTGGACTTTTCTGTTATCCTTTATATATATATATATATATATATATATATATATATATATTTATATATTTATTTATTTATATTCTATGTATAATTTCTCGCTCATGACTTTCTTTCATTCATATATATTTATTCTTGGGCGGACATGGTCTTATAAAACAATAAATGTGTTTGCCATAAGATATTTGTAATAAGAACATTAATAGTGACTGAGTCAGCCAACTGCGGTAAAAAAAGCTATAAATAGCTCGCCGCTATGGTAATAAAAGTGATGACGTCTCAATAAAGTTAAAAATAACTTAAATATATAAGGCCAATTAGCACGAAGAAAAGGCAACGACCGCTGTGGTGTAGTGGTTAGCATACTGGACCTTCACTCCAGAAACCCGTGGTTCGAGTCCCGGCTGCGGCGTGCCGATTTTTTGTGCGATTTTTTTATGTATAATTTCTCGCTCATGACTTTCTTTCTTTCATATATATTCATTCTTCGGCGGGAATGGTCTTATTAAACAATAAATGTGTTTGCCATAAGATATTTGTAATAAGAAAATTAATAGTGACTGAGTCAGCCAACTGCGGTAAAAGAAGGTATAAATAGCTCGCCGCTATAGTAATAAAAGTGATGACGTCACAATAAAAATAAAAATAACTTAAATATAAAAGGCCAATTAGCACGAAGAAAAAAAAGCAACGGCCGTTGTGGTGTAGTGGTTAGCATTGTACCTTCTATCCAGAGACCCGTGGTTCGAGTCCCGGCTGCGGCGTGGCGATTTTTCTATGTATAATTTCTCGCTCATGAATTTCTTTCATATATATATATATATATATATATATATATATATATATATATATATTGTTTATTTTCTGTACATTTCATAACTAACCATGACATGTTTGTGAATATGATACACATACTTCATTTCATTGAAAAGTCGAAAGAAATGATATTTGTATTTTTTCTTATTAATTAATATTCAAATAATATTATTTAGTACTTGCTTCTCTTTCAATTATTTCAGGATATTCACTATAATTTCGATGTAATGGATGTAATGCGGAAGAAACAAAAGTTTTCTATGATTTGAAGAAATGATTTAAACTAACACTAAAGATAATACTATGAATCTTATTTAATATAGTTTATGTTGTATATTTATTAATTCAGAGCTTGAAGAAATACAAGAATTGAAAAACAGACAAGGTTTGTAGAATTTTGTTATTCTCTTCATTTATAATATAAGATATTTTTAAACTGCTCGTTACCAAGTTGCTGATAAAACTTTTCACACAAAAAATTCTTCCGACCGCCATGCCATTTTAAAACAATTCATTTTAAATTTCGATAGAAACGCCATGGTCAAAACTTTAAGTATCACATTTAGTAGTGAAAAGTGGAAGGCATTGATTTTCATAATTTTCAATTTATTTTAAATTAATAGAAAATAATCATATTGTGATTAAATGATATCTCTCATACTACCCATTTTTAACAATCACGGTAAAAAAAGTATTTATTATTGAAAAAAACTATGATATTACAGTTTTATTTTGCATTTTTATAATTTAGAGGTAATAAAAGGAAGCCTGACGGAGCAATCAGGTTTGTATCATTTATGTATCTTATAGATTTATATTACATATATTTTCCTTTATGCTCATATTAACACACTGTACATAAACATGCCTTTCCGGCGGCCTTTGACAATATGGTTCTCATTTTTAGATGAGTCTATATACATTTAAGCGCAAACGAAATGTTACAAATAGTATGTGTTCATCACTGTGATACTTTCATTAGTAAAATGTGGAGTAACATTTACAAAAGGTTTAAAACATCTTAAGCTGTCAGAGTATCAAATATTAACTTTTTCCGGTAGCCTTTGATCATTTTTGCGTATTTTTTTTTTTTTTTTTTTTTTTTTTTTTTTTTTATAACTTTATTTTCTGATTTCACATACAAACATTATATAATATTTTGAAATTCACAAAGACATACAATAGTATATATATTAAATTCATATAAGTTCACAAAGACATACAATATAATATTTTCTAAATTTATATAGGCAAGTCATTTGACATTTTCAGAAATTAATTTATAGGGGTAAATAGTTGAGCTAATTTCTGTTTTAGTATATAGAAATATAGTTACTATATTGGTTTTGTTTAGTTCATATGATAAAAAAAATGATTTTCCTGTAAACAGACCATAATCTGTCGTTCATGTACGTGCAATATATAACATAAGAAAAAAGAACAAATTTACAGTACAATATTTAAAACAGTACATATTTATTCAATAACGGTACCTAAAATGTATCAACTTATGAATACTTATTCCATACTGGATAGTATACCTCATTAGGAGAATTGCGCGTCTCTACTCCAATTCATATATACATGTGTACAAGTAGACTAGTCTGCTGCGTGAAAGCCTAGATACGTCATAGAAATTTGTGCATAGATTTTGCTACAAAAAGTATGTGTTCACTCTCGTACGTTAAATGTCGATTAGCATTTATAAAAAGTTTAAAACGTCGCAAGTTGTCAAAATATCAATTATCAGCTTTTACCAAAGCCTTTTACAATATGGTACTTATTTTTAGATAAGTCTCTATTTATTTTATGCGCAAACTTTTTATTGAAAATAAATTATACTTATCATTGTAATGCTTTAATACATAAAATATCAAGCAACCTTAGCAGAAGATTTAAAACATCTTAAGCTGTCCATTATAAATTTTTGACTTTCCGATATCCCCGCAACCCGTGCGTTAACCTGATATTTAGAATAATTGATGTTGTTATTTATTTACATTTACGATTTTGTAACAATTTTCTGTACATTTTATTCCTTGCTGTTAGATTTATCATGACTTAAAATTGACTATGATACGTAAATCTCAGTCCAGTGAAAGGGAATGGGATTGATTTTCCTTATTTTCATTTTGTTTTTAAATAATATACAGATTATAATCTTTCTTTCCTATATTGATTATAGAAAGAACTATGATATCATATATGACATCTAATACAATTTTATTTTGATTTTATTTAGATGAGATTAAAAGAAACAGACGTTCCTTGATAAAAGAAAATGGTTTGTATTGTTGGTGTGTCTTATCGACTGATATTAAATATATTTTCCTTTAAGCTCATTGACACACACTGTACAGAAAATGCCTTTCCGCGGACTTCGACAATAACGTTCTCAATTAAAATGATCTATTTTCTTTTTTGAGTACACCTTATGTAACAAATAGTATGTGTTTATCATTATAATACTTTTATACATAAAATGTCAATTAACATTTATAAAAGGTTGAAAAAATCTGAAGTTGTCACAGTATTAAATATCAGCTTTCCCCCAATAGGTTACTCATTTTTAGATGAGTCTCTACTTATTTTATGCGCAAACTTTTTATTGAAAATAAAATGTACTTATCATTGTAATGCTTTAAAACATAAAATATCAATCAACCTTAGCAAAATGTTAAAAACATCTTAAGCTGTCCAAGAATCAAATATAAATTTTTGACTTTCCGATATCCCCGCAACCCGTGCGTTAACCTGATATTTAGAATAATTGATGTTGTTATTTATTTACATTTACGATTTTGTAACAATTTTCTGTACATTTTATTCCTTGCTGTTAGATTTATCATGACTTAAAATTGACTATGATACGTAAATCTCAGTCCAGTGAAAGGGAATGGGATTGATTTTCCTTATTTTCATTTTGTTTTTAAATAATATACAGATTATAATCTTTCTTTCCTATATTGATTATAGAAAGAACTATGATATCATATATGACATCTAATACAATTTTATTTTGATTTTTTGATTTTATTTAGATGAGATTAAAAGAAACAGACGTTCCTTGATAGAAGAAAATGGTTTGTATTGTTGGTGTGTCTTATCGACTGATATTAAATATATTTTCCTTTAAGCTCATTGACACACACTGTACAGAAAATGCCTTTCCGCGGACTTCGACAATAACGTTCTCAATTAAAATGATCTATTTTCTTTTTTGAGTACACCTTATGTAACAAATAGTATGTGTTTATCATTATAATACTTTTATACATACAATGTCAATTAACATTTATAAAAGGTTGAAAAAATCTGAAGTTGTCACAGTATTAAATATCAGCTTTCCCCCAATAGGTTACTCATTTTTAGATGAGTCTCTACTTATTTTATGCGCAAACTTTTTATTGAAAATAAAATGTACTTATCATTGTAATGCTTTAAAACATAAAATATCAATCAACCTTAGCAAAATGTTAAAAACATCTTAAGCTGTCCAAGAATCAAATATAAATTTTTGACTTTCCGATATCCCCGCAACCCGTGCGTTAACCTGATATTTAGAATAATTGATATTGTTATATATTTACATATACGATTTTGTAACAATTTTCTGTACATTTTTTTCCGTACTGTTAGATTTATCATGACTTAACAATATCTATGGTACGCATACTTCTAACGAGGCTAATGCGAAAAATCCAGCCTTTGAAACTTGACAATGCATACTTCGGTTCTTCTAAACAGATTTAATTAAGTCAAAATCTAATTGTCGATCCGAGAGTAACATACTGCACTGGTTGTAAGCGTTTTGATTATCTTGATTTGATAAAATTGAAGCTGTTTACATGCAACTTAGATAATGAGCATAATAATATGCAAAAATTAAAGTTGGTGAATTAACATAAGGAAATGTTTCCCATATAATAGTATAATCACACACACAACTTTCTGTGTTGAGCTAGCCTTTCACCGACAGGATATGTGTGCCTTCAAACTTACAACGGTTCGAATTGTTTGTGTAAGTGTTTGTACATTCAGTCGTCATTACTTGAATTTCACTTTTGGCAACATGGTTAAAGAGAACTGAACAATAAGCGTGTGCCTTCCTTCTTTAAATGACTATATTGGTTTGTAGAAAAACCCAGCTTTTTGAACAAGTGAATAACCGCGGAATTATTCAAAGTTTACCATCGATAATTCCGTTGTATAACCGAAAAACTTGTGAATTTGTCCCATTTTAATGTTAAAATAGATATTCAGTGTGTCCTAGCATCTCTGTTTACCTACATTAGGAGATATTTTGAGTCATACGATGTGATTTAGCCTTTTATTATTAAATATATCTAAGCTGATCTAGCGTTTTGGTCTTCAGCAAACACCTTTTATGCATTTTACTAAATCAATGACAGCTCTAACATATGTGTTTACATACATTCAATAGCTGTTACCTAGAATTGCTCTCTTTCTGATCAAATGCAGAGAACTATTTAATGTACAAAAAAACTACACAGAATATTTATTTAGTTTTGTAAGTGATGGCTTTCTTAGAGATAAAATAAACAAGCATGCCTTTGGTCTCATTTAAATATTATTATTGGAAAAAATGGTAAAAATGGGAAAAGGTATCTATACAGTATGATAAGAATAAAAAGTTACGAACGAAAGGGTACATACAACTTTGGTTTTAATTTTACTATTGTTACAAGTTTTTTCTTGTAAAGTCATACGCTACAGTTAAGGTTACTACTGTTATAGTAAATGCTACTACAACAGCCAGACTTTGGTCTGTCTTAGTATTTGGTCGTAGCAAAATCTCTTCAGCTGTTGACTTGAAAATTTGATAGTAGTAATGTAGCAGCATAACTGTTACTCATCCCTATGGAATCTGCTCAGTAAAATGTATTTGTCTTTAAAAAGAGTATGTTAAATATAGCCTTATCAATAATTAATGCTTCCTTGAAAATAATCTCTAACAACCCCTTAAAAGTGAGACTTCTGTTTTGTCGGCATATACTCGAACAATGAGTATTCCGCATGTTACGATGAAGACTTGGTATTGCTACTCTCAGAAAACCAGTAAATGTTTTTTCGTTTAAAAAACTGTATTTTTTTAAATAGATTTTTACAATGTTAAATCCAAGAATGCAACATTGTAGTTTACAAAAGAAATACAATTGATTTTTGTCCGTAAACAATCTGTTCAGTTCAGATCAACAAATCTGGATTTTTGTCAACGAATAGCCTCCATATACTTCAGTCTAGTGAAAAGTGAAAGGGATTGATAATTCCAAATTTTCATTTTGTTTTTAATTAATGAACAAAAAATAACCTTTCTTTCTGACCTGTTTTTAGTTATTGCAGGGTAGTCACTATAAATGTTATGTTTGTTGCAGAAGAAAAAACACAATGTTTTCTATGATTAAAAATCAATTAAAAAAAACAAGATATTACTATAAATCTCATTCGATATAATTTTATATTATATGTTTATTAATCCACAGAAAACAGAAATTGATGGATGAAATCGATATATATATACACATTAAACAACTAATATAGTATCAAAGTGTTTTAATAATAAAATATATATATATATAATAAATATATATATATATTTATTATTAAAAACACTTTGATACTATATTAGTTGTTTAATGTATTTATTATTTTATTACTTTTTATTTTAGGTCGCATTACTGAACAACTGGTATTCAAGGAGGCACAATGTTTGTATCATTTATGTATCTTATCGATATACATTACATATATTTTGCTTTAAGCTTATTGACAAATAACTGATAAAAACACACCGTACATATAAATGCCTTTCCGGCGGCCTTTTACAATACGGTTCTCATTATTTGATGTGTCATTTTTTATACGCCCGTTTGAAAATCGGGTCGTATTATAGTTCCCAACCCCAACCTGGTTGGCGGCTGGGAGGGCGGGCGGTCCGCCGGCGTCGAATTTTTGTCCGGAGCATATCTCCTATACCTATGGGGGACTTTTAATGAAACTTCATAGAAATGTTCACCACTATAAAAGCCGTGCCGCGCATGAACCAGGCCTCTAGGTCAAAGGTCAAGGTCAATGAAAAATGTTTGTCCGGAGGCAAAACTTCTACTTGCATAGAGGGATTCACAAATGTTCACTATTGTAAGGCGGAGTGTCGCGTGCAAAATTAAGGTCCCTGTGGTCAAGGTCACACATAGGGGTCAAGGTCATACATAGGGGTCAAAGTTTAGATAAAATATGAAAATTTGGGACCATTTAGTCATCATTTTCAGAGGGATTGAAACACAAATGGTCATTATTATGACTACTGGTGTAAAACATGTTATTAACGTTAATATATGCAAGGTCACTAAAGATGATTGTCAAGGTCACTAAAATATAGAGATTTTGTCCAGAGCATGTCTTCTTCACATACGGAAAGATTGTAATGAAACTTCATACAATTGTTCAGCACTATGAGAAGCTGTGTCCCGTGCATAAATCAGGTCTCTAGGTCAAAGGTTAAGGTCACAGTTAGAGGTCATTGAAAAAGGCTTGTCCGGTGCAAAACGTCTACATGCATAAATGGATTTCACTATTACTTGGCACAAATGTTCACTATTGTGAGGCGGAGTGTCGCGTGCAAGATTTTGGTCCCTGCAGCTAAGGTCAAGGTCATACAAAGGGGTCGAAGTTCAGATAAAAAAAACACAAGAGATAATAGTATATCCAGATATAGCCCAGAGATAGCTCTTTTATGCATATCTATAATGGCCACATCTCTGTCAAAAGCTTCTGTGACGGGCGAATATTGCCACAATGATGCCCTTGTTCATGTTTGCGCAAACATAATTTTGCAAATAGAATGTGTTCATCATTATGACAGTTTTATTGATGAAATAGCGAAGAACATTTACAAAAAGTTTAAAACATGTAAGGTTGTCAAAACATCAAATATCAGCTTTTCCGGAAGCCTTTGACATTACGGTACTGATATTAAGATAAGTCTATTTTCATTTTGGCGCAAATCTAATGTTACAAATAATATGTGTTCATCATTATAATACTTTTATACATAAAATATCGAGTAGCATTTACAAAACTTTAAAAGTATTTAACGTTGTCCAAATATGAAGCTTTTCTGTCAGCCTTTGACATTACGTTACTCATTCTTAGGTAGGTCTATATTTATTACAAATAATTCTTCCGGCTACCATTGACAATTTGATGCTCGTTTGTAGATGATTGAAATTTAATTTTGATAGAAACACAACGGTCCAAACTTTAAGTTACACATTGCATTTTCTCCTTACTGTACGCCTTTTATGACATTTTAGTTTTGTGATATGCATTTGTTAGTTAGAGTGCAATAATATAAAATGTTCATATTGTTTTCAATTTATATCTTTCGTACTGACCATTCTTTAAACAATTTCGGGATATTCAGGGTTAAAGTAATTTAAGTGGTAGGGAAAACGCAAGGTTGTCTATGTTTTATATTAATTATAGAAAAAACTATGATATTATATATGATGTTTAATACAGTTTTATTTTCCATTTTTTATAATTTAGATAACACAAGACATAGTCTTTTCCCGATGGAAGGACAAGGTTTGTATCATTTATGTATCTTATAAGTTTACATAACATATATTTTCCTTTAAGCTTATTGACAATCACTGATCAAACACACTGTACATTAAAATGCCTTTCCGGCGGCCTTTGACAACGCGGTACTCATTTTAGATGAGTTAGTTTTTATTTTGTTGCAAACCTAATGTTACAAATAGTTTATGCTATCATTATGATACTTTAATAAATAAAAAGTCGAGTAACCTTGACAAAAGATTTAAAACATATTAAATTGTCAAAACATCAAAAACCAGCTTTTCCGTAAGGCTTTGACATTATGGTACTGATTTTAAAATACGTTTATTTTCAATTTAGTTACAAATAATATGTTTTGATCATTATAATACTTTTATACATAAAATATCGAGTAACATTTACAAAACTTTAAAAGTATTTAACGTTGTCCAAATATCAATCTTTTCCGTCAGCCTTTGACATTATGGTACTCATTCATTGGTAGGTCTATATTTATTTTTAAAAAAAAGTTTAAAACATGTAAGGTTGTCAAAACATCAAATATCAGCTTTTCCGGAAGCCTTTGACATTACGGTACTGATTTTAAGATAAGTCTATTTTCATTTTGGCGCAAATCTAATGTTACAAATAATATGTGTTCATCATTATAATACTTTTATACATAAAATATCGAGTAACATTTACAAAACATTAAAAGTATTTAACGTTGTCCAAATATGAAGCTTTTCTGTCAGCCTTTGACATTACGGTACTCATTCTTAGGTAGGTCTATAGTTATTACAAATAATTCTTCCGGCTACCATTGACATTTTAATGCTCGTTTGTAGATGATTGGAATTTAATTTTGATAGAAACACAACGGTCCAAACTTTAAGTTACACATTGCATTTTCTCTTTAAGCCAAGGTCTCACTTACTCCCGGCAGAGCCCAGGACCATCCCGGTAAGTTACCGGGATGATCCGGGATGAAATTATTGTTGCGGTCACACTTACCCCGGCAGCACTACGGTAGCTCCCTACTAACCACCCAGGATGCGCTCCGGATCATCCAGGCAGAGCCCAGGTGAAGCTACGGATCATGCCGGTGCTTCCCCGGTCGTTCCCGGATGACGCTGGAAGAGCCCCGGTTGACCCAGGCAGAGACCCGGTCGATCCAGGCAGAGCCCCGGCAGAGCCCAGGACGATCCAGGCAGAGCCCCGGTAGAACCCCGGTGGATTGAAAACGCCCGAAAATGATAACATTGATACATATTTTTTATTTAATTTAATATCTATTGTTCCAGAATAGTAATTCATGATGATTTTCTGAAAAATCCTTATGCCATACTGGATAGAAGGGAAATGGGAAGGCTTTTAATACAAACAAGTGCAATCATCGCAAATTGTCGTTATTTCTTTTGAAATGAACCGGGGCTTTGCCGGGGCTCTACCGGGATCAACCGTAGCTCTACCTTTATCCTCCGGGGCTCTGCCTGTAGTTACCGGGATTCTGCCGGCATATACCGGGGCTCTACCGTAGCTCTACCGGCTATATCATACACCGGATCATCCCCGGTTTGTGCCGGCAGAGCTACGGTGCTTTCCCGGTATACCCCCGGTCGTTCCCGGCAGAGATAAGGATGAAGCCGGCAAAGCTATACCTTCCCGGATCATCCCGGACCACCCCGGTGATATTAAATATTTTATTCCATCCGGGGTCGAATGCCGGATGTTCCCGGATCATCCCGGATCATCCAGGACGTTGCCGGCAGAGTTACGGATGTACCCCGGTTGTTCCCGGTCGTACCCCGATCGTTCCCGGATCACCCCGGACGTCTACCGGGGCTCTGCCGGGATGTAAGTGAGACTGTAGCTTTACTGTACTTCTTTTATGACCTTTTAGTTTTGTGATAGGATTTGTTAGTTAGAGTGCAATACTAGAAAACGTTCAAATTATTTTTAATTTATATCTTTTGTACTGCCCATGTTTTAAACAATTTCGTGATATTCAGGGTTAAAGTAATTTTAAATGGTAGGGAAAACGCAAGGTTGTCTATGTTTTTTAAATTAATTATAGAAAAAACTATGATATTATATATGATATTTAATACAGTTTTATTTTCCATTTTTTATAATTTAGATAACATAAGATACAGTCTTTCCGTGGTGGACGCAAGAAGTTTGTATCCTTTATGTATCTTATCGATTTACATAACATATATTTTCCTTTAAGCTCATTGACAAATCACTGATCAAACTCACAAAATAATTCTTCCGGCTGCCTCTGATAATTCGATGTTTGTTTGTAGATGATTTAAAATTTAATTTTGATAGAAACACAACGGTCCAAACTTTAAGTTACATATTGCATTTTCTCCTTACTGTACTTCTTTTATGACTTTTTAGTTTTGTGATATGCATTTGTTAGTTAGAGTCCAATAATAGAAAATGTTCATATTATTTTTAATTTATATCTTTCGTACTGCCCATGTTTTAAACAATTTCGAGATATTCAGGGTTAAAGTAATTTAAGTGGTAGGGAAAACGCAAGGTTGTCTATGTTTTATATTAATTATAGAAAAAACTATGATATTATATATGATGTTTAATACAGTTTTATTTTCCATTTTTTTATAATTTAGATAACACAGGGCACAGTCTTTTCTCGAAAGAAGAACAAAGTTTGTATGATTTATGTATCTTATAAATTTACATAACATATATTTTCCTTTAAGCTCATTGACAAATCACTGATCAAACACACTTTACATTAAAATGCCTTTCCGGCGGCCTTTGACAATGCGGTACTCTTTTTAGATGAGTTAATTTTTATTTTGTTGCAAACCTAATGTTACAAATAGTTTATGCTATCATTATGATACTTTAATAAATAAAAAGTCGAGTAACCTTGACAAAAGATTTAAAATATATTAAATTGTCAAAACATCAAGTATCAGCTTTTCCGTAAGGCTTTGACATTTTGGTAATGACTTTAAGATAAGTCTATTTTCAATTTAGCGCAAATCTAATGTTACAAATAATATGTGTTCATCATTATAATACTTTTATACATAAAATATCGATATCAAGCTTTTCTGATAGCCTTTGACATTAGGTAGGTCTATATTTATTTCAAAATAATTCTTCCGGCTACCTGGTCGTTTGTAGTCATTTTTAATTTCGATAGAAACACCATAGTCTTATCTTATATAACACATTACATGTCTTCTGAAGTAAGTCTTTTAATGACGTTTTAGTTTGTGATATGCATTTGTTAGTTAGAGTGAAATAATAAGAAAAGTTTATATTGTTATGAATTTATATCACTTGTACTACCCATTTTTAACGATTTCGGGATATTCTCGATAAAAGTGATCTGATGATGAAGGTACAAAAAGGTTTTCTATGTTTTTAATATTTATTTTAGAAAAAAAGTATGATACTATCTATGATATTTAATACAGTTTACAAAAACCATTGGCATTTCCTAACAATCATTGATTTGCAAAGTAAACATTGAGATTCCATAACAATCTTTGGTTTGCATAGTAACCATTGAAATACCTTAGTAATCATTCTATTAATACCATTGATGTAACTTAGCAACCCATGTCTACAACATACATGCCTTTCCTACGCGAAAAAGTTACTTGAATAGTTACCATTGATTTCCGGTAGCAACAATTGACGTCTATTGCAACCATTGGCTTCCATACGTAACCAGTGTCTGTAAACTCAACTACTGACTTTCTATATGTATGTATATTATTTTCAGACCAGGCACAAAATAAAAGCCATTGACGAGTACATAAAGGAAGGTCAGTGCAATCGTCTTATCCATATACAATTACATGTTCCATTATAATTGTTAGCATTTTATCGATAATTTCAAGGAACAACAAAATTTCATATAAATAAGTAAAAATGAATTATCAATCAATGTAAGAGTGATCTTTAAATGTGCTCCTCCCAAGTTTGTATTTTGGATTTTTAACTGCATGTGTATAAAAAAAATTTACATGTTTCTTTAAATTTCAAAGTCAATTATTCACTCGAAAAATGCTTTTTGATAACGTGTGATTGTTCCTTGTCTTGAACCTTAAATACAGTATAAATATTATCCCGTTATATTAATGAGCTTTATCATTTTGATAGATATTTCAAATATTGATTTAAATTTATATGTTCTACTTTTACATTAAAAACTGAAACAAAAGTGCATAATTTGTTGTTGTTTTTTTTTTTTTTTTGCTTTCAACGTTTGAAATAAAAGTATATGTATTCAAAACTGCTTAATTTGCTCTTGAATTTTATGTAATATAACAAGTTCTTTTGTTTATACAGTCATGTTTAAGTAAGTGTTGCTAACTGTTGTTTATACCATTATAAACGCAATGTAGTAACACCAATTATTTTGTTTTACATTTTTCACCTAAATCATTACTGATATTCTAAAAAAACAATTGAAAATAAATTCCCAATGTAATCCTATGAAAGTTTTATTTCGCGAAGGATTAAATGAAAACCATAAACCAAAAGTAAATATAAGGTTTGTCGAAATAAAATTCAAGATAAAGGGGCAGTTAATTCGAAAACAAACCCGTTGACTATTTTTCCCAATAAAATGTTTCTTTTATCATATTCATAGGTCATTCAAAGTTTTAAAGGAATTTTATTATACGGTTTCCATGGTGCCCTTATGTCAAGATATAACTGTCGCAAACGTCTTTGATATAAATGTATATTTATTCATTTCAGACCTGGTGAATAATGGAATCTTTTCAAGTGTCATAATGCAAGGTCAGTGCAATTATGCAATTATTTATCAATACAATTACATTAATATAAGATTTTTACGAAACACCGTTAAGATATCGCCTGAGAACGTGTTGCTCTAAATTGTGCAACCTGTAATATAACAAATGATTTTAGCTTATGACCATATGTGAGACAAACTTACTCAAATTAATAAATTTACAAAATGTATACAACTAGATATTTTATGACCGTCCTACCTAGTAGCAGAATATGGTTATGTTTGTTTTCTTTAATTTGAAGAATGTTATTATTTTAACATTCATTGAAAGTATTGCTCTAATATATTTTAAAAGAAATAAGTTATATCTTAGATAAGAGTTTTAGCCTCCTATCCTATCCAAGTTCTGGGCACGAATACTATCGATAGTAGAAAATCGCAACTGTAGAAAAAACTCAACAGTACCATAAAACGCCAGAACGATAAAAACGCCAAAACAATAAAGACAGTACTATGATGCTAATGCCATAGTATAATAACGATAATGCGATAGTGTTGTGATGATTTGTCTCTTCTGTTTAGATTTTATTATGATATTTTCTGGTTTTAACCTTTATTGCAAGTAAGTTAATTGCAAACAAATATGTAGTTTTGTGTTTAAAAAATAGTTTAATTTTTTATAAATAAGTAAATAATACATCAATAAGAATTAATTAAGTTACAATTTATTTTAAACCATTATTTCATATAAAAGACATAATTTTACTATTTGTAAAATATCAGAAAAGTTCTGTCTCAGAATCATTCGAACTCAATGCCATTTATAAATTTGTATTATTTTTTAGCGTTCCATTTTTGTAATTGTAAAGTTTTTGACGATTTCTTATTGTAATTATCGTACTGTTGAGTACCGCACTCTTAGGTGATGACCCTGGCAGTATCTCGAAGATATCCAACCATTTCAAATATAAATCATCAATCGTATTCAAACTTTTGAATTGGTGGGACTTGCAGCGACTTAGATTTTTGAGTTAACCAACAAAAGCCAGTTTTTTTTGTTTGTTTGTTTTTGTTTTTTTTTCTTTGTTTTTTTCTTTTGTTTTTTGTTGTTGTTTTTTTTTTGTTGTTTTTTGGGGTTTTTTTTTTTGGTTTTTTGTTGTTGTTTTCTTTGGGGGGGGATAGGGGCTATAACACAAGCGAAGATTGAAAATCAAATTAAAAAACTTCATAGGTGGATAGACCTCATTGAGGAAGAGTGCAGTGCACAAGAATGATAATTCTACCCTGCATTATTTTTGAGTTATTGCCCTTTGTTATTTTTCAAAATTAATTTTTGTCCAGAGCATAACTCAAAATGCCTTTGCGATATCAACATGAATCTTCATATGTGCATAGATCTCACTCAGGAGGTGTGCAGTGCACAAGAATAATAACTCTACCTTTCATATTTTTTTTAGTTATTGCCCTTTGTTATTTTTCAAAATTAATTTTTGTCCAGAGCATAACTCAAAAAGCCTTTGCGATATCAACATGAAACTTCATAGGTGCATAGATCTCACTCAGGAGGTGTACAGTGCACAAGAATGATAACTCTACCTTTCATAATTTTTGAGTTATTGCCCGTTGTTATTTTTCATACTTAATTTTTTACCTGAGTGGAGCATTACTCAAAAAGTGTTTAAGATGTCAACATGAAACATTATAGGTGGATAGATCTTATTGAGGAGGAATGTTGTGCGCAAGAATGATAAATCTTTGCTATACAATTTTTGAGTTATTGCCCTTTGTTATTTTTCAAAATTAATTTTCGTCCAAAGCATAACTCAAAAAGCCTTTAAGATATCAACATGCCCTTTGTTATTTTTCATACTTAATTTTTCACCTGAGTGGAGCATAACTCAAAGTGTTTGAGATGTCAACATGAAATATCATAGGTAGATAGATCTTATTGAGGAGGAATGCTGTGTGCAAGAATGATAACTCTTTGCTATATAATATTTTTTTAGTTCTTGACCTTTGTTCTTTTTCATACAATTTTGTCCGGAGCTTATCTCAAAAAGTATTTGAGGTATCAACTTGAATCTTCATAGGTGGATAGATTTTACTGAGGATGGTGCAGCACACTAGAATGATAACCTACCCTGCATTATTGTTCAGTTATTGCCCTTTGTTATTTTCAGCCATCAGTATTCACATAGGTTTCAAATCTGTAATAACTTCAGCCATCAGTTTTCATTACCAAAAGCCCTCTTAAAATGGAATTATTCTGCTCTACTACATATACATTCTTCCAATGAGCAAACACATTTGGCGGGGGATGGCCATGTTGACATGGCTCTTGTTTTTTCTGCAATTACATGCTATATTATTACTTTCTTTTATCATATACATATGTAAAACCAAAGGGGCTGTGGCTCCAGATTTTCACTAACCTAATCAATTTAGAAAAATATATTTCCTAACAATATATGTATGGGCACCGTGTGATCATAAAAACATAATATTTTATTTCATAACTCAATAGTGTTGGGAAACCTTATAACTAGAGAGGCAAGTTGAAGTTGACCTGGACTTGTTTTCTACAAGTTTATTTGAAAAAAAAAATATTTCTATAATCACTGAAAAAACAGTTGTTTCTGGTGAGCGATTCAGGGCCATCATGGCCCTCTTGTATACTTTATTTTTATTATAGACAGACCTAAAAAAAGTAAATTTTGTAATTTCTTAAATTTTTATTGATTGATAGATTACATATTGGCAAAGTGCTGTGTAAAAGCCTAACTAATTTTGCACAAAATAGAACTATTGCCCTTTGATTTTTTACATTTATTTTAGTAAATCTTAAAACATATTGGAAATATCAAAGCTGGATAGATCACATTAAAGAAAAACACAAGTAGAAGTCTAAAACTGTAGAACCATAACTATCATATTTATAATTTTTTACTTGTTTCCCTTAATATTATTTAACATTTAATTTGTTTTGGGAGCAATTTTAAAAAATGTATTAGAGATATCAACTTGAAACTTCATAAAGAAAAAATACATTTTCTAAACATTAAATCTATAATGCATAATTTTGGAGATAAATAATGCTTTCTGTAGGTTTTTCATTTGAAAAAAAGTTTAAGTTATAGGTTTATTGGTTTTCAGGTCGAAAACAAGAGTGATAATGAAATTTGTTAGGGAGACATGATAAACCATACAAATGTCTTTGTGCCCCTTAGAGTCGAAGTTACTCTTACTGTTACTTAAAATAAAATAACTTGAGTTATACATGAAATATTACAATCAAACTAATAATATATGATAGTACTTATTGATTGGTACTTGAATATTTCAATTACTTTTTATGTGTTATCCTAAGTTGATGTGTGACTATGTGAAAGATATATTTTAGCTGTCACCTTCTTAAGATATGTGTCAATATTTTTTACAGATATTGAAGAAGAAAAAAAGAAAAGGATGACCAAATGAAACGTGTGGTAAGTTCAAGTCTTCACTGTTTATCATTTTTATTTTCTTTATACAATATCTGTATAGATATATATATATTATTTGATAGCTGATGTCTCTCTGGAACATTTCATTCTGTTTACTGTTTAATAACAAAATAATTTTAACGCCCTTTTGATGATCGACCATACGATTATGGAAAGAAAATTGTTTAGGAGATACTTCTCTACACTTCATATATAAGGCCAATTAGTGACAAGACCGCTAAGGTGAAAAGGTAAGGATACTAGACCGACAATCCAATCCAGAGACTGGTCGATTTTTTTTGTCGATAAAACTTGATTAATACACATTGATTGAAAAGAAAATTTCTATCTCCTACTAGTAAGAAAATATTTGGATAAATATTTTAAATATTAAAGTTTCTCTTAAATTTTAACTATAAACATTACTTGTCAATTATGATTTAAATTACATTATTTATTTATTCATTTATTTATTTATTTAATTTATTATATGATTCTATATCTTATTTTATCTATATGATAAATGCTATTTCGAAGAGGACAATCATTTTCAAACAATAACGTATGCTTCATGTTTCTTTGCTTTTGTTTTCAGGGGAGTTCATTGAACAATGATACGGGAGCTTCAATCCGATGATTTTATTATTCAAATTTTTTATATAAATATTTCTCCGAAAACATCACAAATGTAGATAACGTCAACACTTACAGCTTTTCGCAAGAATGTGTTTTCGCAAAGATTTTGAGAACGAACGTGTCAAAACTTTTCATTTAATACAAATAATTAAGATTTATGAAGTTTGAACTGATGTAAGAACAACTTATGATAAATTATTTCTTAAAATCAGATTTAGTTGTACGAGTAAATAGATATTTTAAACGGAACTATGCGATAGGTGAAAATTTTAATGGTTTGTTAAACGTTGTGATTTTGGCATTAAAAACATTGATGTCATCCAAATAAGCGAAACATTTAGAATACATAAGAATTCATATTTACGAATATACAGACATAAGTATAAACAGAAGTGTTTTTACAGTATTAAAATATATTAATGAAACGTTTTTTTTTATCTTTTAATGATGTAGACTGACTAAACTTATTGTGAGACAAGCAATGTTTCTTCCCTCTGTTGAGTTATATAAAACATACGACTAATTTGTCCACAATAGCCGTGTAAAAGAGAATGTTATTTTGCTTTATGAGTGGGTTTTTGATAAAAATGAAATCTATATAATTTTTTACTACTGTTTTACTGTGAATGATGAATGCCTGTACTGATTTGATTATCTATGATATATATGTTTTTGGTTGATCTTCATGACCTAATATTATATGTAAAACGAGTTCGTTCTTTTTTATTCTTAAAAATCTTCGTGTTTCTGTAACGAACTTTTATTACATTTCCAAAAACAAAAACGTAAAGCTTTTATCACGACGCAATCGGCAGCATCCGCGTTTGTTAACCTTTGCGTTATGGTTCATTTTCTCCGCAACGATGAAAGTTATTTACTGTTGTCAAAAAGACGCTTTTTCATAAAGGGCAGACAATCCTAGAATTATTTTATGCCCCTTTCTCCCATGCTTAACCTTTCTTATGAGGACATTTTTTCTCATAAGCTATGTAAGTTATTCACTTAAAACTTGAACATGATTGTTCACTATTAGGTATAACACCATTTGAGATAACTTTATGATTTAATTTGTCTTATATAAATATACCACCTTTTTATTTTGTTGACGAGAACAACATGTGTTCGCACATTAAGATTAAGGTGTCATAATCACAAAATAACAGTTTTTAATCATTGTATTGAACATTATGTTTGATCTTAGTCCAAATTTTCATACATTATACGTCATCTTTTCGTACCAGTAGTGTGTTATAATAGAACCGTATAAATTGAGAAATGTAACCCTTGAAAACATTGCTGCTTTTCAGACTTTCTTTTCTTTGTGAGATTATATATACTTAATGTTTATTATATTATTATACTTTATCCCAGCAATGATTTT